TCCATCAAGAGATGATTTAGTTAAAAAAAAAAACAGGGCCGAGCCCATGGCACACTTGGGATAGTGCGGCGCTGGGAGCGCAGCGGCACTCCCACCACGGGTTCGGATCCTATATAGGGATGGCTGGTGTGCTCACTGGCTGAGTGCTGTGTGGCCGATCTCAAAAAAAAGACTAAAAAAAAAAAAGAACTGTGGTATATACACAAAATGGAATACTATTTGGCTATAAAAACATGAAATCCAATCATTGCAGCAACATTAATGGAACTGGAAAACATCAAGTTAAGTAATATAAATAAAGCACACAAAGACAAATACAATATGATATCACTCAAAAAGTGATTCTCGTTGAACTATACAGTGGAAGAATGGTTACTGGAGGGGGGCAGAGGGAGAAGAAGCAGTGGACTAATAGGTACAAAACTAGGCTAAAAACCCTATGTGAATCATTGTGCAGTATATTCCTGTATTGAAACAACACAATACCCCACATATGTACAAGTAAATGTTAAAATAAAGAGAAGGAGTATATATGCACCCAACATTAGAGCAGCTAAATATATATATAGCAAATATTACTAAAACTAAAACGATAGAAAGACTGTAATGCAATAATAGTAGGTGACTTCAACACCCCATTTTCAGCAATGGACAGATTGCCCAGACAAGAAATCATCTAGGAAAACCAATGTTAAACTATATTCTAGATCTAATGGACCTAGCAGAAATTTATAGGCCATCCATGCAATAGCTTCAGAATACACATTTTTCTGAACAGCATTTGTATCATTCTTCAGGATATATCATGTGCTAGAAAAGAAGAAGTCAAACTGTCCCTGTCAGCAGAGGAAATGATCTTATATATAGTATACCTAAGGCTTCACCAAAAAACTATTAGAACTAATAAACGAATTTAGAATGATGGCAATATATTTTTTGTTTAAGTGTTTTGAATGTTCTGTTTTTAATTGAAACATAATTTATTATACATATTCATGGGGTAAAAAGTTGACAATAAGTATTTGTGATTAATACATGATGATCAAATCAGGATTATTAGCAAATTCTTCTTTGCAAAACATAGTCCTTCTTTGTGTCCATTAACCAAACTATATACCAACAGCAAACTATTGGAGAAGCAAATCAAGAAAACAATCCTATCGACTGCAGCTGCACAAATAAATAAATAATATACCTAATGTCAGGTGAAATATCTCTACAAGGAAAATGATAAAACACTGATGAGAAACATTGAAGAGAACACAAAAAAATGGAGACACATTCCATGTTCATTGATTAGAAGAACTAATATTGTTAAAATGACCATACTACCCACAAAGATCTAAAGATTCACTGCAATTGCTATCAAAATACCAAAGACATCTTTCACAGAAATAGAAAAAAAAAATCTAAATTTCAAATGATACCACAAAAGATCCTGAATATCCAAGGCAATGCTGAACAAAAAGAAGAAAGCTGAAAACATCACACTAACTAGCTTCAAAATAGAAAGATCTTCTTAAAGTTCATGGAAAGAAATGTATTGTCTTTTAATTCCATTTTTCCACACCCTTTTTGAAGTATCTTCTTATACTACAAAGCTATAGCAATCAGAACAGCTTGTACCTGGCAAGAAAAGACACAAGACCCATGGAATAAAATAGAAAAACCCCAAAATAAATCAACTTATTTACATCCAACTGATTATTGACAAAAACACAGAAGGGAAAAGGACAGTCTCTTCAAGAACTTGTGCTAGAAAAAATAGATATCTGCATGCAGAGGAATGAAATGAGACCCCTATCTCTCTCTGTATACAAAAATCAATGCAAAATAAATTAAAGACTTAAATGGAAGAACTGAAACTATGAAACTACTAGAAAAAAAACATAAGTGAAAAGCTTTATGCTATTTGTCTAGGTAGGGAGTTTTTTGGATAACACTTCAAAAGCACAGCCAAAATAGCCCAAAAGTAGACAAATTAGGTTATATCAAACTAAAAACTTCGGCACAGAAAAAAAAAATCAGCAAAGCAAAGAAACAGCACACAGATTTGGTGAAAATATTTATAAGCTACACCTCTGACAAGGAGTTAATATGCAGAATATATGAGAAACTCAATAGCGAAAAAAAAAAATTCAAATTGAAAATGGGCAAAAGACCTGAATAGATATTTCTCAAAAGAAGATATGCAAATGGACAACAGGTATATGTAAAAATGTTCAATATCACTAACCATGATTGAAATGGAAATCAAACCCGTAATGAAATATCACCTCACTTGAGTTAGAATAGCAATTACCAAGAAGACAAAATTAACAAGTGTTGGCAAGGATGTGCAGAAAAGGGAACTCTTTCACACTGTTGGTGGGAATATATGCCAATGAAGCCATTATGAGAAACTGTATGAAAGTTCTTCAAAAATAAAAATAGAATGGGCCGGCCCGGTGGCGCACTGGATAGTGCGCCACTTGGGAAGCGCGGTGGCGCTCCCGCCCGAGGGTTCGGATCCCACATACAGACCGGTTCCCGCTCACTG